AAGGGAAGGGAAGGGAAGGGAAGGGAAGGGAAGGGAAGGGAAGGGAAGGGAAGGGAAGGGAAGGGAAGGGAAGGGAAGGGAAGGGAAGGGACATGGCTTCAAACTGAGCACAGAAGCCATTAAGGAAATGTTTAAATTCTTCTCTGGATTCCTTGATAGAAGTGTAAGCAGGAAGTCTTCACTGTGAGAAGGGAACAGAGATCACACATGAGCAGCTCTCACCTGATCATAGTTGTCATGGCCATGGAAAAATGGCTCCTTTCGGAATATCATACTAGCCAACATGCAACCCAAGCTCCACATATCCAGACTGTAATCATACATCTGTACAAAACCAGAAGGACAATTCAATTTCTAGCAGACAGGACTCCCAAAACTCACAGGTTCCCCCTCCCTCCAGAAATGCAAACATGGCCATATTACACCAGGAACAAATATGTTACTGCATCTTTATTATCAGAACACTGTTCAACTCAGGGGGAACAGTTCACACAGCATTAGCTCCTCTCACAAAGACTTCATTTCCATTCCTCACTGCACAACCAGGCATGATTAAGAAAAGAAATAAATCAACATTTGTATTCCAACACCCATGATGAAAGTTCAGCTCTTCAAGTCCCCAGGTGACTCCCTGGTTTCACTTGGTGGCTTTACATCCATTGCTCTCTTCATGTATTTTAGAACAGACCACCTGCAGAGTCAGGTTGCTGAATACCTGAATTTCTGGTTCACTATCTGGAAACGTTCAAGGTTCTCTGCATACACATCAGTGATAAATCCTGGTCATTCTTACCTGATAATCTACAAGGAGTTCAGGTCCTTTGAAATATCTGGAAGCCACTCTGACATTGTACTCCTGGCCAGGGTGATAGAACTCAGCCAAACCCCAATCTATTAGTCTAAGCTAGAAATGGTAGAAAACAATGAAAAACATCAAGGGATGTGCCAGCTCTGCTCCTACTGAGTCGTGCTACGACTGTACCTGAAAGCTTCATTTACAAGCTCTCTCTTCTCAGTTCATTTGAAATTGATCAGAGTATCCGTTCAGATATTCTCCACATGCCAAGACCATCAACCATTCTAACTCAAATCTCTCCTTACCAACCCAACCAGAACACACAACCCATAAAAATCTTAAGTGGTTCACAAGATTTCAAGTTTCTCCATGCCATGGAAGCACAGTCCCCCATATGACCCCCCCCAAAGATGTCTGCAAGTACCTCTATGCAAGGATACCAAAAAGGAACCCCTGTTTTGCCAAGACAAAAGTAGGACCATTCCCTGCCCTGCAGTACCTTTCTGTGCTCATGATCAATCATGACGTTGTGAGGTTTGACATCTCTGTGCATGATTCCCATGCTATGGCAGTAATCTAGAGCCTGCAAGTGACAAAGAAGCAGATGCTGGAGTTGCAAGAACCTTTCAAGCTCAGTCACATTCAGAATTATTTCTGCATACACCAAGGTTACCTAGGCAGCACGACTTCACTGTTCAGTGATACACTCAGAACCAGACTCACAGACCACAGCAAAGACCTCCAGCATCCCCTCCCAAAGTCCCAGCAAAAGAAGTGTCTGGTTTCACCTCCTGTGTTTACTCCCCTAAAAAAAAAGGATTTCTGGAGTTCTCACTCAGTGTATCCAGATAAGGGCTTTGCTATCCTTAATAAGGACTAGCATTTCTTGTGGAAACATGGCTAACCCATCAGTACTGTGCTAATCTGATGCCTATTTTTAAAACCAATTCTTTCATAGTAACCAATTTCTTTCGTTCTTTCCTCCTTTCCCCCATTAGTGACAAGATAACCATTGCTAAAGGATCAGCTCACTACAAAGCTGAGAAACGAATCAAGAAAACAGGAAAACCCCAACTTACCTTCAAAATCTCATACATGTAGAATCGAATATCATAATCTGTTAATGTCTGATATAATTGCTGTGGGAAACAAATACATCCCATCAGAGGTCAACACCAAAGAAAAATACCACAACTGTGCCAATCCAGAATGACCCAATTCCGTCCTCTGCCGATGTGACTCTCCAAACCCCACAGATACTCAGCCTGTTCCTCTCCCATCCAAATCACACACAGCTCACTTCCAGCTGTTCAGAACTCTGCTCTGCTCCTCTCACTAACTCCCAGCACCAGCCCACCGACTGCACGATTTCTTTTGCTGCAGACTGGCTCTCAAACACACTGAGAGGCTCCCAGCTCAAGTAAAGCTGTCCCAGGCATTGATGGTCTACAAGGTTAATGGATGAATTTGCTCTGAAGGTTACAATACCACAGCGATCTGGATCTTCACCTTCTAACTACCAAGGAACTGAATACAAACTTCTATCCAAGTGCATTCATCTTCAAAGACAACTGGTATGCTGGAAGGAAATGATTACATAACCTGCCTTCCCTCTACATATTAGTGTCTTCCCAGAACATTACAAGAGGCTTCTGAATGGAAAACACAGAAGGTCAGAACTCATACTATACCTTAAAGTCTGTGTTGTTTACATGTTCAAAAACCAAAGCAGGGGTCCGAGACTGAAACAGAGAGAAAAGTGTTCAGCCTTGTTGAGATAAACTGTTTCCATCCAAGATAATGCATTAAATCATTTCAACTCCTAAAACTCCTAAAAAAGCCCCTTCTGCCTCAGACACAGTTGTAATTTCCCTCAGACAGAACAGAGCCTGCACTCTGTTCTGCCCCTAGAAGAAATGAACACGTCTCAGTTCACTGCTGCTTCCTTATAGAGCGAGGGGCAGAAGTGACCTGTGGGGGGAAAGGCCTCTAAAAGAAGTTAATCAGATTAAGAGCTGATCTCATTAAGGGATTCACAAGCAGGACTTAAGGGCAGAGGAAAACAAAAACGTCAGATCAGAGCTGAAGTGAAAGACAACCTTTACCCACAAACCCAAAGCACCCTTTACACCCTGTCCATACTCACCACAGGGTCTTTTACTATATCTGCAAGAGTGATTATATTGGGACCGCCTCGCAAGTTTTCTAAGATCTTGATTTCACGCTTGATTTTCTTCTTTTTAACAGGCTGGAGAATAAAACACAGAGCATAAGGCAAAGTGGCCATCAAGTGAGGCAAACAGACACGACAGATGACAAAGGTACCTGACTGCAAGTTAGCAAAATACATCAGCACCTCTGCAAGTTAAGTTCCAACAGCCACACTTGGTTGTTACCTATGAATCATTTCAGTAAGAACTCACATCTCTGAACACATTCCAACAGTCAAAAATCTGTTAGCTGACATGTGCTAGATGTACAGTTAGGAGAAACCCATCAGCTATCCAAAGGCCACACTAAACAAAGGTATTTCACCAGTCAAGACTGTGGAACAATAAGTTTCCAGGAGACCTTAACTCAGCCTGGAAGAATATTACGTCTGCAATGGAACGTGCAAAGCAGAAATTCCAAATCTAAGGTTAGCAGCCTCTGAATTGTATCACTGCCTTGAAAGGACAACAGTCCTGCGAGCTTATAGGCTTCATTCCACATAAAAACATGCTGGGGTTCTGGTAGCTAAAAGAAGTGAGAATTCTCTAGTCAGCTGCTGAAAACTTTTCTAGCTCCGAGTAAAAACACTTTCAGAAGCGTGCTGCACCTCAGGACTTCTTAAAGAGAAAGGTTAATTCCTTACAGGCAGAGATTTAACTTGATAACCAAGCATATGGTTTCTTATTAAGAGCTCGCAATGATAGCCTATTTCACTGAAGGGGACTCTGAAGCCAGACTTCAAGGATTTCAGTCTTAGAACACAAGACACTTCAGACCAACTGCTGCATTTCTGGCCTCCCGATCACTTCAGGACCAATCTCATGTTTTCCCCAAACCCCTGCTCACCTTGAGAATTTTAACAACTACTTTTTCATTATTTGTAATGTTGATGGCTTCAAATACTTCACTGTATTTGCCTCGGCCTAATTTTCGAACTAGCTGGTAGTCATCTTGATTTCTGTGGAGATAAATAGGTAAAGAATTCCAAATAGCTCAGACATTTCCATCAGAATTTACAAGGTGCTCCTTAACTCTAAATCACTGCCACCCCCTTCCAGAGAAGGTGGATAAACAAGCACCTTCAGTCCACTGAAGGCCATGATTACGAACTGAGAGAAGCAGGCAGCTTCTTTGTCCAAGCCCAATTCAACCCACAAGTTGTTTCTTCTGCAGTAGTAATGTGAGCCCATCTGGACTTCAGCAAACTCAAGCTATCTTTTCCAGAGGTCTATGTAGGTTTGGGAGCTATATTTTTCCTAACATAACGCTAGGAAAACATCAGTAGAGCTATCAAGACAAAAAACTTCAGTGCTCGCCCATTCAGTAGCAGACCAGGCACAGGACACCACTTCTGCTCAGCTGAGGACAGGGCTGTCTGGGCCCTGCCCACAAAAGCAGGAGCACAGAGCCACCAAGCTGCATCACTGCCATCTGATTCTTGGACATTTCAGTCATGAGCTCGATTTAGACACTTCCCTCCTTCAGAAAGGAGCATAGATGTCTTTTGTAGTCACTTGCAGAGAGAAGAGCAACAGGTCACAAGGAGACATGTACCTATTTCAGTTTGCTGAGTCTCTGCACTCCTCCATATCAGAACCATTTCTCCAGCCCCACTCCCAGAGCCATTTAGCCTGTTTCAGATAAAAGACTTTCTTCCTTCTGAAAAGAACAAGTTTCCTGACTGCGTGTCAAAAGCTGTTCAAACCAAAATCTTAACGGAGGCACTAAAAACGTTCTTGTGCTGCCAGGGATCTAAAAACTTGAGGAGACGATTTCAGATACACAACAGGCTGCTCTGCCATTTCTGCAGTGCCAAAGAAAAGCTGTGATCCTGACTTGCCATTTACACCACACATCCAAAGAGCACGAAAGCCTAACGCAGCACAGGTGCCAAAGCTCCCCCTGCACCACCCTGCAGACCCCACGAGACCCTGCCTAGCCCACACTTACCCCCACTCAACCACATGTGACTCGTAGTCCCAGTACTCCCGGGGTCTGTGTGTGTTCACATCCGTGTAAACCCTGGCCCTGCTCGGCACGGGTCCCGACATATCAGACAGGTTGGCAGGTGGAAGCGATGAGATGGCTGAAACCAGAGGCTACCCAATCTCCACAGTAGGACAGAGGAGAAAGGCCTCAGACAGGCCTCTGGTTCTTCCAACTAAAGAGAGAGAAAAATAAACCAAAGGTTAAAATCTCAAGATAGTATAAAAATATTGAGGTTAATAATTAAAAGCTGTTGAGAAGAAGTTGGAGTCCAGCCACGGACCTGGGATCATTTGTCAGGACCTGAAAACCATTTGTCTGCTTTTCCTCACACAAGACAGGACCGTCTGGACCCAACAGCAGAACTAACACCCTGAATGCACCTTGCAACTTTCAGTACCAAGTATCTAACTTATGGCTGGAAAGATAACTTTCCACAAGGGAAGAAACGCAGCATGCTCTGTATCAGCAGACGGGCTCCTCCCTTCAGCTCTGCAGCAAAGGCAACGGCCATCGACTGCAACTTTTCTCCACCCCAAGCAAGTTTGTGCCAGTGCAGAAGCAGAACCCTTCACTCCCTGTGTGCTGCATGTCCTGCCCCTCTTGCAGGACACTGAGAAGCCGTGCTGCCAACAGCAGACAGATTTACAAGGTCACCTGTGCAACCTAAGTTAAGCACAGCCCCAAGTTTCGATTTCTAGAAACGCAATCTTCATTTAAAGCAGAATTTCAGGCCTGTTGAGTTTCACCACTGTTACAACTAGCTGCAGTAACTGAGCAGGAAGCTGCTGTTCATCCAGCACATGCTCTGATTTCTGAATATTTACAACAGTAACTCACTCTAAGAACTACACTAACCATGCGGAGCAGCTCTGGTTCCCAGCCTGCCATAAGACCCAGGAGTCACTACTGATTTCTCACCCAGTGACCATACAGGGAAGTTTACTCAAAGCCCTGCAGAGGAATCACAAGTGTGCTTCGTAGCACAAATGAGCTCCTTGGTGCAGAGGCAAAACCTGCTTATGGAGCATACTGCTTTCTCAGGCCTGCTCAAAGGACCCAGCTAACACCAGCAGGACCTCTATCAGCAGGACAATGACCCATCACCTCCAGCCCCAATTCAGAGCGTGCTTCCAGTACTGTCAGTACAACCACACTGCATGGGCTACAAACACCCTGACGTGAGGGATGAAAAGCAGCACCTACAGGTGATCCTACCAATATCACCCAATAGAATTAGAATGCACAAATATTACGGTGGCATAAAAACTTCGAGTCAATAATGACGGTTCCTGTATAAAAACCAGATTGTTGAGACTCTGGACAAAGCTCCTGGTATTTATAAATCCAGGCTATCTATTAACAGCACACTGGTAAAGGCAATAACGCATGCCAAAAACCTCACACAATGTTTTTTTTTTTCTTTTCAATAGGCCAGAAGCAGGCAGAGGAAAGCTCTCCATTCAGCCAAGCATTAAGTGCTATGGTTTTATACCGGACGTATCGTCCTGCCTAAATAAAAGCAGTGCCTTGCACCCCTCAAATCTTTCACCACGAGTGAAAGCTGACATACTTTTACACATTTAAATACAAGAATGTCTTTGTCAGCTTTCAAAATAACTTTGGAGGAAGGAAGCTGTATCAGTCTGAAGGAGCATTGTTCAGCATGCAGCACAAGGCAGCCTGCACGGCTGCGGTCACAGAACGGCCCTCCGTGGGCAATGCTATAACCCAAACGAAGGGGAATTATTTGCTATGCAATCCTATCCCTTCGTGCAACTACTACACTGCAGGAAGAAGCAATAGCACCATTAATCAGAAATTAATAAGACCTAGAAATCTGCTCAGAGCCGTTAGTTTAGGCTACCAGGATGGATCACGCCAGCAGAAAATTCTAGAAGTCAAATCCTGCTTTGCTGAATGCGTCCTGTCCAAGGCTTTGATGTCTGCAGCAGGGAGCCCAGAGGCACAAATCCTCCTCCTGCACTGTTTCCTACAGCTCCACCAGCAGCCGCCTGCTTTGGATGCAGGAATGTCTGCGACATCTCCTCCTGGCACGAGCGCACCAAGCCTTCTCTCACAGCACCATCCGTGGTAACGTGGGTTATTTTTTGACCTGGTGACACACAAACGCTGTGGCAGGCAGCTGCAGGTAGGCAGGGAAGCAGCCATCCTGCCTCCAGGCTGAGAAGGGACACAGCACTGTTCTCAAGTCTGCAATGAAGGAGCGGCTGACTTCTGACAGCAAGGGACAGGGAGCATCCAGGTAATAGCATGAAGCACAACTGGAAAAAAACAACCCACCTGCTCCAGGGCAAAACGTTCATTCCTCTAACAAAATACACCTTTCAATAGATCGGACAGCAATCATCTCAGACCTCAAACCATTTATGTGGCATGACTCAGCTGCTCAGAAAGTCGGTGTGTATTCCAAGGCTGCATTAGCAGAACGTGCAAGTTCACTACAGTGCTCTCAGCACCGTGCAGTTAATTTAATTCCAGAGTTTCATCGTTCTGTTTTTGTTTCTCTTATCTCCTCGTGCTTCCAGCAGGTTTTCCACTCGCTTTTTTTGTCTGCCCAACGCTGCTTGTGTGGGACCTACACATAGAATCAGAGAGTATCTGGAGTTGGAAGGGTCCCACAGGGATCGAGGCCAACTGCAGTCTGCACACAGGCAACCCAGTGTCTGAGATGACTGAGCAATTCTAATTTTTAAGCACAATCCACATCCACACAGAACATGATTGTTCCACACCACCCAGCAAGATCACTTCTTCAGCAGGCAAAAAAAAAATTCAGAAGTCAATCTCATTATCCAAAGATGGATCAATTTGCACAGTAGATATTTCCTTGTCATGTAGCTGCAGCCTAGCACGAGCTCTGTTGTAACAGACTGCTCAGAGGTTTTTAAAGGAAATCAACTGTAGCTTCTAAGAATGGCACACAGTGCCTAATTGTGAAGGTAGGTATTCCTTCTATTGCTTTTTTTTAAGTGGAAAGGAGAGAATCTATACAGATAATTCGGTTTTGAAGCAAACAAAGTTACTTACTTACACAAACTTACCTCACCTGAAAGCTTCTCACTCCCCCTACTCAAACTGCTAAGGAACGTGCATATGTTTTGCATTCACTACACCTGCAGAGGGATAATCTTGCAATGAATCCAAATTCTTTGACAGGGGGACAAAGAGGAATAAATAACAGTCATGTAGTTTTAAGGTAGAAAATACACAGCACAAGTAGCAATTACACCTAACTGAGATGAGTGTCCTGAGCCTATTAGAAAGGTTAAACTCCATTACTGCAGTCAGAATCCAAACAGAACGGGCCATTTATTAATTCCTGCATGTGACAGCATCACAGAATAATTTACTTATTATTTGGACCACCAAAAGCACCCTATGTTGTAGGTAAGGTTGCTGTCACTAGCATCACCAACAACCACCACCCTCACAATGGGAAGAAATAACTTCTGTATCTAATCAGAATTTCTCATCATCTGGAGGCACTCCAGGGCTGTGCTGCAAAGTTCTGTAACCATGTCCCACCTCCTCCATTACTCGTCCTCCCCAGCTGTATTCCCTTCAGAGGCAGCAAAGAATCTGCAACAAAAGCAGACCAAACAGACCAAATCCTCCATCCACAGAACCAAACCCACGGTGTTGTGGCAGTAGAACAGCAGTTCCTATGCTAGAGTGCAAAGCAATGCAGTACCTGCTGCACCTAGGCAGAAGCTCTGCTGTCGTCAGTCCTCTGCTGGCAGACAGGAACCTGCTGCTCAAGTGCCACCAGCTGGCTGACTGTGAGCTGGAGCTAACCTTACACTGAAACATGTGGGGCAATAGGGCAAGCAAAGCAAAAGCATCCAAGGACTGATGAAAACAAAACACACCTCTGAAAAAAAAAAACTGTCATTTCTCTGGTTTAGCTGAAGCACGCAGCTAAGAAACAGAAGCACGAGTCTGTAGGCAATGCAGCAGGTCAGTGAGGAACACAAAGCCCTCAGTTACCCGCCTGGCACTCGCTGTCCAGCTCCCTGCCTTGGCAGTGCAAGGACACAGAGCAGCTATTCTGCCCCAGCTGTGCTGCCCCAGCAATACCCCTTAGGCAGACGATGCACAGTGGCAAACCCAAACAGGCCCAGCAGTGGGTTTTTGCACACAGGCCTGCCCTTAACTATGGTCTGTCAGTGTCAGTAAGCCAGCTATCAGCTCACCCTGCACCACAGGGCTCTGCTTATCCTGCATGCAGAACGGTGAGAACGGGGTCAAACTCCACACTGCTGATAAGTAGTCCATAGGAGTGCCTGAGTCAAAGTCAAGGGATCAGAACAGCTGTGCTGCCTCCATACAGGAACGGCACTGCTGGGTCCACTAATTAAGAGAGACCTCTTCTTCAGAGTTTGACTTTCTCTAACAGCAGCTTGCTGTGCTACCTTTGCTGCCTGAAGTTCAGCAAAACAGTCAAGAGATTCTCAGTGTTTACTTTGAATTTGATTTTTAAAAATGTTTTAATTCTTTAATTTAAATCACTGCGAGAAAACACCCCCTTTTTAAGAAGGAATCTGTGCTGTGTTACTGTAATCCCTATGGCAACCCCTGCCCCCATGGAAGACTTCATTCCTCATGAAGCATCCTCACCTAGAGCACCATGCACAACCACTACAGGGATTTCCTTCGCCAACTTCCCAACTGCACCACTCTGAGCAGGTGGCACCAAAACACAGGTAAGCAATTAAGCAAATCAGCACAAACACACCTACTTGGCCTCTAGTACAATGCTTTTTCTCTTTCCCTTTTTTAAAGTCAGAAACAACCAAGGTACTGGATTTTTTTTTCCCCCTCCTTTTAAAGGCAATGCTTTTAATGCTTTTTAATGGAGTGCCTCTCAAGTACACAGTTACCAGAACCTGAAACCTAGAAATCTGCAGCAGTGTGACGCAGCGCACACAGCGAGCTGGAAGCCAAGAGCTTCCCAGAAGACTGTTGTCCTGGGGAACACCAAGTACTACCAAGGGATGACCTTTGTGGAGAAGGCTTGGAGTATAAATAAGGCACCCACACGCATAAGCATCGCTTGACACTGGCCTGCCTGCAGGCTGCTGCTCCCAGCACAGCTAGCTCTTGTTGTCCCAGCAAGCAGGACACTGCTGGCTGTTTGGTGCCACCCAGGCAGACCAGAGAGAACTCTGTCCCCTCTGTTCAGTATCACAGGTGACTCACTTGAACTTAGGTGGAGTCAGCAGAGTACATCCTATCTAAGGGGCAAGAAGTCCTAAGCTGCCCCAAGCCAAAAGAGCCAAGAACATATTTCTATCGCTTGGCCAATTCCACACCACCTCCTCCTGCCCCCAAGCAGAAAGCTGGATGTCACAGTGGTCACACAGGTCTGCAGGCTTCCCTCTCACTTCTACTTTTCCCATGTAAGCTCATTATAAGCTGCAAGTATGACTAAGTAAAGCTGTCAACAGACTAAAACAGACAACCAGTTCATGATGGGGAAAAAAGCCCTCAACCCGTCGAGAAGGACAGTATTACTGTAAGCAGCCTGGAACCAGAGGTTACACTGCTCCTTTATTCCTGCTCACCAGAGAGACATTACCTTCCAGAGAAAATGGCTCAAACCCAACTTCTGAAATCCTAAGTATAGGAATGTGCTTTGTTAGTGGGAGGAAGCATTCCAATTATTAGACAAAATTGGTTATAATCTTCATAATCTCCTCCACGTAGCCTATCTAGCCCTCGCCTGTGAAGCCTCCCAGGAAGGAGCACTCACTTCTTCAGTGTTTGGAGAGCATCTGGTACTGGGTAGAGGCTGCTGAAATTAAAAGAGCAAGATATGCCTAAATACTATAATACAACCTACTGACAGCCAACATTACTCAAATCTCAATTTAGGAAGAAACAATAGTAACCAACTTGATCAGAAACACATGTTCTATCTCACAACAGAAATCTGATGTATTTTCACAATAGTGGAACTGCAGCAATACAGAATGGAACAGATGACCTCCACAAGTCCCCTGCAGCCTATATTTCTCTGCAATTTTATAGCTGAAATAGAAATGAGCCCGGATCAACAGAACTGACATTTCACATCCTTTCCTGAAACCCATTTACCTACTAAAGGGACAATATCAACTGAGCAGCAGATTTTTAACATCTAAATGAGTTGAAAGAAAGCTTCAGTTTGAAACCAAAAACTTTTCTCTTGATATTTTTTTGGAACAGCAGCCTGCTCTAACAACATGTTTCCAACAAAATCATTTTCCAGATTTCTTTTAAATAGCTGCTTGTGTCCGGCTCTGGAGCAACCATAAATCCAATGCATAAGGACCTCAAGCATTATTTTTTAAAAGAAACAGGAATAGTTGTGATTTAATTCAAAGTAGGACATGACCAGCCATCAGGGGAAAGAGATGACAGGCTAAGAAACATCTTGGAGCAATTCTGCACTAGCAATGTTCTAACATTGAGACCGGCTCTTCCTTTACCCATGTTATTAATTCCTCCTCTGAATTCCCTGCAGCTTCTGCCAGTGAAGAAGTAATCCCTCGTAACGTGGGCCTCAGTTGGACAGAAGTCACAGGACCAGTCACTGGAATGGTTTTACTGCAGCTCCACAGTCCTGGGCACACCTCAGCCCTCCTGCTTTACAAACAGTGCAAGAGCACCCCACACCTGATGGGCCACAGGGTGCTCCAGCAGCTCCGTCACAGTTAGCCTTCATTGTTGTTCAGAGCCATAGCAACAGAACTTTAGAAGAGCTCACACAGAGAATCACCACAGATCATCTACAGGTTTCCAGAC